GGGTGGGACCCAGGGCAGCTGCTCTTTCCACTTCCCATAGCGGCTTTTCCAGCGTTCTTTTCCTTACCATAAGAGGGGTGACACATATTCATTAAACATTTTCAGTAGATGGGATTTTTTAAATTACCTGTAGTCATATTACCTAGACACAACCATGGAAAGATTTTGGCATATTTTCATGTTTTATGGAACAACGAAATTGAAAACATTAAATTAAACCAAATCTATTTCTCTCATTATTAAAGAAATATACATTCCCTGTCAAAAATATGAAAAGAATTTAAAAAATACTTAAAATCATCTGTATTTGTTGGCGAGGGCTGTTGTAACCAAGTGCCACAGACTGCATAGTTTAACAACAGACATTTTTTGTCTCGCAGTTCTGAAGGCCAGAAGTGCAAGATCAAAGTGTTGGCAAGGCTGGTTGGTTCCTTCTGAGGGCTGTGAGGGAAGGGTCTGTTCTACACCTCCCCGCTAGCTTCTGGTGTTTTACTGCCAATCTTTGGCATCCCTTGGTTGACAGAACATTACCCTGACCTCTCCCTTCATCTTCACATGGTGTCCTCCCAGTGTGCAAATCTGTATCCAAATTTCCCCTTCTTATAAGGACACTGGTTACATTGGATTTGAGGCCCACCCCACTCCAGTATGACCTCATTCTAACTTAAGTAATTAATACACGATTTCCAAATAGTCACATTCTAAGGTAGTGGGGGTTAGAACTTGAACATATGAATTTGGAAGTGGGTAGGGGGACACAGTTCAACACAGAACACCATCTCAAATCCTGTGAGGCAAAGAAAACCAACGTTAGCAAGTTATTACTAGGTCGTTTTTGAAGGTATGGCCAGAAATTTCTTCTGCTACTCTGCTCATTGAGGTTGGGGTCTGTGTCCCCATGTCTCTGAATCTGGGCAAGCTGGTGACTGCTCTGCTCAGTAATCCTCGTATTCAAGTCATGACAACCCGGGCACCAGGCAGGGGAATGAAAGAGCTTCCAGATGTTTCCAGCCCTCAGCTACCAAGTCATTTCCAGCTTGGGTCTTACTGAGCTGAGGTCACAGACACCAGGGAATAAAGACAAACCCTCCCTCCTGTGCCCTGGTGAAATTCCAGATCCACAGAACCCGTGAGCATAATAAATGTATGTTGTTTGTGACCGTTAGTTTTACATCTACACCACAAGATGCCTAAATACTTCGATAAACCTTATTCTGGGTATGTCTGTAAAGGTGTTTGGATGAGATTAACACTGGAATCATAGACTGAGTAAAGCAGGTTGCTTTCCCCAGTGTTCCTTCCCCAGTCCATTGCAGGCCAGAACAAAAGGCCTGGCAAGGTAGAACTTGGTCCCTCTGCCTGACTACTTGAGCTGGGACATCAGTCTTCTCCTGCACTCCAACTGGGGCTTACCCCATCAGTGCCCCTGGTTCTCAAGCCATTCGACTCATTCTGGAACTACACCACCAGCTTTCCTGGGTCTCCAGCTTGCAGATGGCAGATTACAGGACTTCTCATCTACCACAATCCATGAGCCAACTCCTCGCAATAAATTGCCTATAATAAAGGTCTTATAATATATATGTTTATACACTATTGGCTCTGTTTCTGAAGGTTCCAAATATATTGTTTAAGTCAGTAATTTCAGAGGTGGGCGGAGGGCTAACTACCCAGCAATAGTTATATTGTAATATTTCTAGTCAGAAATATTTTAATTCTTATATAATTATAATTCTTACTCTTTTTTCTGTGCCTTTAAAAACATTTCTCTTACTAAAGTGAGTCACTAACTTCTTAGATCAAAAGGAAATGATAATTTCTCTGATTCTGAGATTTATTTTAAAAAATATTTAAAAAACAGTTCAGCCTCACTTCTAAACATTTGCATTATATAAACATAATGAATATACTAAGTCCAGCCATAGGTAACACAGGGACATTCACAAGTCCCAGGTGGAGGACAGTATGAACTGAAGCTTTTTGACGCAGTGGCTGCTTAGACCTTTTACTATTCTTTCCTAGTTAAAAGTCAGAGAAATCAAGTAAACATTGAAGTCTTAAAGATGCAGACAACAGCTGGGCACAGCAGCTCATGCCTGTAATCCCAGCACTTTGGGAGACTAAGGTGAAGGATTACTTGAGTCCAGGATTTCAAGAGCAGACCCTGGGCAACAAAGCGGGACTATCTCTTTGAAAAAAAAAAAAAAAGTCGTAGAAAACATCTGAGGCTCTTGGTAATGCATATGATGAATACGATGCACTACACAGCTCTGGTTTTGAGAAAGGGGAAGTGCTTGGTTCTTCTTGGCATTGGCTGTCAACCATGTAAATAGTTTGGCCAATATTAACAGACCCTGGAGCCAAATCAGTTTCATGTGGTCATCAATCATGACATTTCTTCTGAAACATGAGGTAAAGCATGTGGTGCAAGAAATACACTTTCTGGGAAATGACGGAAACCTTAAGAGGTGCAGCTCAGGGAGCTTCTTGCAGGCCAAACCGCAGCCCCTAGCCACAGAACTGACCAGACCACATGGAGGCCAAATACCTGTGTGTGGGTCCAGCATGAACAATGCTGGTCCTAAGTCCCTGTGGATCATGATCTCCTCATTACTGAGATTTTCATTTTCACTGCTCTTTCGGGTAGTAGATCTTTGAGATGTGTTAATGAAGGGACGGGAAGGTCTATGGTACTAAAAGTATATACTGTTGCCTTGAAAGACAACAGACTTAGTTGGGCATGAGGTTGTTCCCAACATTTTCCTCTGAAAACTCTGCTACATGTGGTTTCATTGTCTTCTGATCTTGGGTGGTGCAAAAAAAAAAAAGCCTATGGCCAGAGAGATTTCTGTTCCTGCATAGGAAACTTACTTTTTTCTATCTGAATGCTCATATGGTCTATTTCTTATATCTTTGTAATGTGAAAATGTTGTCACTCTTTTTTCTTGGAATGTGGTGGATTTTTTTTTTTTTTTTTTTTTTTTTTTTGAGATGGAGTCTCGCTCTATTACCCAGGCTGGAGTACAGTGGTGCAATCTCAACTCACTGCAACCTCTACCTCCTGGGTTTGAGCAATTCTCTCCTGCCTCAGCCTCCCATGCAGCTGGGATTACAGGTGTCCGACACCACGCCTGGCTAATTTTTGTATTTTTACTAGAGACAAGGTTTCACCATGTTCGCCAGACTGGTCTCGAACTCCTGACCTCAAGCAATCCGCCTGCCTCCACCTCCCAAAGTGCTGGGTTTATGGGCGTGAGCCACTGCACCCAGCCCTGTGGTGGATTCTTTTGATCTTCATCTTCAAGTTCTTTTCAGCACAAGAAACACTTGTTTAATTAGGTCTTTGGTTGTTACTTCTATTTTCCCACAGGAATACCTAAGATTCTTGCATTGAATCATTCTTCCCTCCCCTAGATAGCTCTCATCTCCCACACCGAGTCAATACTTTTAATCCTTTTCTCTGCATTCTGGGAACATACCTTAGGTGGTTCTTCACATCCCTCGCTTGACATTCAACAGCATTCTCTCTAATGTGGACGTGAATGTTATTATTCATCTTTAATTGCTTTTTAATCACTTATCTCTTGATATTCCCTGCCTCACACTCTGATTCAGACACATTGAACTTCTCTCAATTCCTCAACATTCTAGGGTTTTGTTTTTGTATTTATATTTGTTTTAGGAGACAGGGTCTCCCTCTGTCACCCAGGCTGCAGTACAGCGACACGATCACAGCACACTGCAGCCTCTACCTCCCAGGTTCAATTGATCCTCTGGCCTCAGCCTCCCAAGTAACTGGGACTACAGGCACGTGTCACCACACCCAGTTAATTTTTGTATTTTTTTGTAAAGATGGGGTTTCACCATGTTGCCCAGTCTGGTCTCAAACTTCTGGGCTCAAGCAATTTTCCTGCCTTGGCCTCCCAGTGTGCTGGGATTACAGGCATGAGCTACTGCGCCTGGACAACATCTTGGGTTTTTTCTCACCTCTAGGGCTTCACACACGGTATTCTTTGGTCATAAACGCCCTCCACCACCAAGTCATTTCATTTGGCCAACTCCTACATCTTCATATGCTCTGAGCTTCAGCTTTCATGCAGGAAGCTTGCTATGACCACCGAGGATGGCTCAGAGTCCTCGGGCTTCTATTGTGCCCTGCCAACCCTATTATCACGCATTTCACCCTGAATTGGAAATGCCAGTTCCCTTGTCTGGTACCTCACTAGATTCTGAGAGGACAAGAATTGACAATTTTATTCATCATTATATCCTCAGCCCCGAACACCACTGCTGGCATGTGGTAAGCATTAAAAAATATTTTTGCCTATAATATCCATCTTTTTCAATCACATTCGTCTTTTTGCATCTTAAGAATTCTCTGCATGGTACTCAAAGATGGTACCAAACAGCATCTTTAGGGATACCAACAAGTTTCATTTTTAGAGCTCTGTCTTCCTCTGATTATTCAAATGTGTGTTCCCTTCCTCCTACTTGACAGCATTTTTTCATAGATTTTATGTTTCTCCTGACCTCCTCCTCCAATGAATAGAATAGATCCAGACTTGGTGCCCACTAACAGACGCACATCATACTGACCCTGGCCTCACTTTCTACCTGGGTGCCTGCCAATCTCCTCTTCAAGCTATAAAACAGACTGCAATGTCCAGCTCCCAGCTCCCTCCCATTTCCATCTACTGTGCTCCTCTAGACAGAAATGGGACATGTCCTGTCCCACTGCCATGGGTATTTAGTTAGAATTGGAAGAAATTCCAACTTCAGTCAATGCCACTTTAAACCAGGAGTCCCCAGCCCTTTCAGTTTAAATGAATCCCAGGGACGAGGACATAATTTTGATAATTTTGGCAGGTGTTCTTAGAACACACTTTAGAAGTCTTATTTATGTCCTATATATTAGAGTTTTATCTTAAAGCAGCCTTGTATAGAAACTTTTGTAATCCTGTTAATGTCTTTGTTTTCTGCCTCTATAATTAAGAACTTACCTTTGACCTTTGGAGCACTGACCCTGTTTCTCTGGAGTCTTCCTCCTGAATGGGTCACTCCCCGTTTTTTCTTGAATAAACTTTTTTTTTTTTTTGAGACAGAGTCTCACTCTGTAGCCCAGGCTGGAGTGCAATGGTGTGATCTCGGCTCACTGCAAGCTAGGCCTCCCGGGTTCACGTCATTCTCCTGCCTCAGCCTCCCGAGTAGCTGGGACTACAGGCGCCTGATACCACGTCTGGTTAATTTTTAAACTATTTAAACTGGAAAAAAATGAAACAAAATAAAGTTTAAAATAGAAAAATTAGCTGGGCATAATAGCAACTACTTGTAGTCTCAGCTATTCTGGAGGCTGAGGTGGGAGGATGACTTAAGCCCAGGAGGTTAAGACTGCAGTGAGTCATGATTCGCATCACTGCACTCCAGCCTGAGTGCCAGAGTGAGACCCTGTCGGAAAGGGAAAGGGAAGGGGAAGGGAAAGGGAAGAGGAAGGGGAAGGGGAAGGGGAGGGAAGGGGAAGGGGAGGGAAGGGGAAGGGGAGGGGAAGGGGAGGGGAAGGGAAGGGGAAAGGAAGAGAAAGGGGAAGGGGAAGGGGAACAGAAGGGAAAGAAAGGGAAGGGGAAGGGAAAGGGAAGGGAAGGGAAGGGAAGGGGAAGGGAAGGGAAGGGAAGGGAAGGGGAAGGGAAGGGAAGGGAAGGGGAAGGGGAAGGGAAGGGGAGGGGGGAGGGGGAGGGGGAGGGGAAGGGAAGGGGAAGGGAAGGGGAAGGGAAGGGGAAGGGAAGGGGAAGGGAAGGGGAAGGGAAGGGAAGGGGAGGGGGGGGAGGGGAAGGGAAGGGAAGGGGAGGGGAAGGGGAAGGAGAAGGGAAAGGAAGGGGAGGGAAGGGGAAGGGGAGGGGAGGGAAGGGGAAGGGGAGGGGAGGGGGAAGTGAAGGGGAAGGGGGGAGGGAGAGGGGAAGGGGAGGCGAGAGGAAGGGGAGGGAAGGGGAAGGGGAGGGGGAAGTGAAGGGGAAGGGGGGAGGGAGAGGGGAAGGGGAGGTGAGAGGAAGGGGAAAGGGGAGGGGAGGACAGCTGAGGGGAAGGGGGGAGGGGAGGAGAGGGGAGGGGAAGGGGAAGGGGAGAGGAAGGGAAGGGAAGGAGAAGGGAAGGGAAAAAGAAAGAAGGGAAGGGAAGGGAATGGAAAGAAAGGTGGACAAAGACATGCAGACTCAAGGATATTAAACTGTTTCAGAGCATGTGAGTTTTATTTTTCAAAAAGGTTAGCATTAACTGACAATGGCTTTCATAAATTCAAAATTCATATTCGCTTCATCAAAATCAAGGTAATTCTACGTCTATTTCTCCAGCCCCAGCTTCTCACCTTCTCAAGCTATAGGATGTTGTCATGCAAGTGCCCTACAATCGTAATATCAAAATGTTCCCCACAAGGTAGAGGAAGTAAGTTTGGGCCAAAGAGAATCAAGGCATCAGATAGAAGCAAAGGGGAATGAAGGGTACACATGCTGCCCTCATTCCAATCTCTGCCTACTGCAACGCCTAAAGCCCACCCACAATGCTGCCATTCTGAAGGCACAGGAACCACCCCATAAACTTTAAAACATGCCCTTTTGCCAAGCAAATTCAAATTAGATTTCTCCCTTATGCAACCGAGGGTTCTCACTAATACAACTGCTTTACATAATACCTATATTGCTGTAAAGTTCGGTATAAATAATTTTTATAAAATTTTTTAAATCTTATATTTACATAGTACTTCACAATTTTCTAAATTGTTACACACATTATCTCTTTTGGTGTGCAAAAGTAATTGCTTGAGATGGCTAGAACAGCATTTACTATCTATGGTTTTAAAATAACAACAATAAAATAAGACACAGAATAATTTAAATTTTGCATAAGGTCACACAGCTAGTGAGAACAAAACAGGAGATGAACTCAAAGTTTCTGACTCCAAATCCAATACTCTACACCCAGAACTCTGGTCTTCTGATTGCTATCCCAGTGCTCCATGCACCCCTTGATGGCTATGCACATTTGTTAAACATACTAGAGACTATCTTTTGAAAGGAAACCTTTCCACCATGTACATAACTGCCTTCTAGTTGGCCTACTTTGTTTCGGTTTTGTTTTTGTTTTGAGACGGGGTCTCTTTCTCTCTGTCCCCCAGGCTAGAGGGCAATGGCACAATCTCGGCTCACTGCAACCTCTGCCGCCTGGGTTCAAGGAATTCTACTGCCTCAGCCTCCCGAATAGCTGGGATTACAGGTGCCTGCCACCATGCCTCGCTAATTTTTGTATTTTTGTAGAGATAGGGTTTCACCATGCTGGCCAGGCTGGTCTTGAACTCCTCACCTCAGGTGATCCGCCTGCCTCAGCCTCCCAAAGTGCTGGGATTACAGGCATAAGCCACCACACCAGGCTAAGTTGGCCTACTTTGTAAATGTGATTTTTAAAAATAATATTTCCCTAATCAAGGGATACCCCGGCTGCAATTATTTCGATTACTGGAAACTAATGAAGAATTAGTGACACCTTGTGGCAAAAGCTTATTAATTCATGTTCTACTGCTACCCATTTTCAGAGATGTCCAAAGGCTTCATGCACTTCACTAAGAAGTTAAGACAAGAGCAAAACTTTGGAAAGAATAATCTAGGGTTGCAACTCTACCTCTGTAACTAGATTCTCTCCTCAATAACTCTACATGTGCTTCAGTCCCCTCCTCTTCACAGAATCTGTGTGACTTCAAGTTCACAGATGACTTCCAGGTTGGCAAACCCAGTGATTACTTCTCAAGTCTCATCTTTCTCAACTTCTCAGTGATATCTGACCAGGTTGAACACACTGTTCCTGAAACCCTTGGATTTGACAAAATCAGTTTCCCTTCTCCTTTAAAATGTTGTAAAGCGGTCTAAGTGCTCACGAGTACCAAATTTATATCTCTAGTTCCACTGAACTTCAGACTCACATCTCTAACCTGCCAGTGTGACATACGTATTTGGATGTCCAATAGCATCTGTCCAAAATAAAACTCTTGGTTTCCTGCTCTTTCCAACAATTGACTGCATCGCAGTAAATAACATGATCATCCTGTCAGTTTAGTAAAGCCATAACCTTAGCAGTCATTCTGTAATCCTCCACTACTTACTATTAGTAAGTGGCAGTGAGGAGTAGGAATAAAGGGACTTAGTTCATTCTCTGAAAGCTCCCAAATGCACCCCTTCTCTCCATTTTTCCTACTATCACCCTAATTCAAGCCAGAGTCTCTCAACCTACTCAGCACCTTCCTAACTAGTATCTTACTCTTCACCTCTTGCAATCCATTCTTTACATAGCAATCAGTGATCTTTTTAAAACATAACTCAGATGATATCCTTTCTTAAAACCAAAATCCCCATAATCCCAACTCCTCTTCCATTCTACAGAGCCCTCCAATTTGCCCCCAGCTTCCCCAAAATGCTCTAAAAGCTCATGTCTTACCACTCTTCCCTGGCGTTCCATGTTCTAGCCACGCTGGTCTTCCTTTCGCTCCTTAAACTGTTATGCCCAGACTGTTTGTTCCCCAAAGAAGACCACCAGAGTCCAGAGTCAAAGCCAAGCGGCAAGGATCTTTACTACAAGTTCGAACTTGGTCCCTCCTTTACACAGTATACAAGAGGGCCCCGATCAATGCGTGCGTTTGCTTTTTATAGCCCGAAAGTTGCAGGGGAACAAAGAAATTCTTTTGGCTCCCGCGCTTTCAGTAACCTTGAACGGCTGTCTCCTTATCGGAGACTTTCCAGGTGGTGTTTGTACTGGGCTCAGGGAGTTTCGAGCCCGGGGGCTGAGGAATGTGCCCAGCTCCTTTCATTCCCCCCTTCTTTTCAGGTATCTTTAGAGCCAATCTTGGGTCTTATAAGCCTGGTTCTGTTTCAGCGTTTTCAGGTTGGTATTGGGCTCTGAGGACTATGAGTTGTACGGTGTCAAATTTCTCCTTAATAAATTGTAAAATTCTGTTAACAACACAAGGTCCTACGGTAAGCAGAAATAGTAGACTTAGCAGGGGTCCAAGGAAGGGGGCTAACAGAGAAAACATAGAGGAATTCCACCATTGGTCTGCAGCTGAAGCAAACTGCCGTGTTTTTACTTCAGTGCTTAACTTGCGTAACTGTTGGACCCGGTCCTCTACAAGTCCTGATTCATTTATGTAGAAACAACAGTCTTCTTTTAGAAATATACATGTACCACCTTTTTCTGCAGTGAGTAGGTCTAGGGCTCTCCGGTTCTGCAAGGTTACCTGAGCTAGGGACGTGAGCTGTCGCTGAAGGGAGGCAAGGGACTCAGCCGACTCCTCCATAGCAACAGCAAATTGTTGTTACAACTTGTTACTTTCTATGAGGGTGTGACCTAGGGCTCCCCCCGCCAGTCCGGCCGCAATGAAGGATGCGGTGAGGGAGATTCCTGCAATGAGGGGGAGAAATATGGCTCGTGCAGGTCTTGGTCTAGGGTCTGGGTGAATAACAGCACTAGTCCAGTTACCGGTATACCCTAGGAACTCGCCAGCAGTTAGTAGAGTCAACCGGGGAACTAATGTGACAGGGAGACACAGTAGGTTATTAACAGAGGGACTAGGTAGGTTCTTAGATAAGGTTCCATTACACCAGAAGAATATGCCTGATGGAGCCCTTAAGGTGATATTAGGGGGCGTTGCAGTGATGCTGCAGAGGCTGGAATTGGTTTCTGAGAAACAGTAGGGAAACTTCTCCTGACTGGGGTTTAGGTATAGGCGCACGTTCAGGATAGGAGCATACGAGAGGTTTCGGAGGTTGTTAGCTTGGGCAAAGGTAGAGGATCCCCATGGCAGAGGGACAGCGGTTAGCGGTGGACGCCCTAGAGTGGCGCACAGAAAGCAGCCAGACAGGCTATGAAGTCCTGTAAGGTTAGCAAGTTTTAGTCCTTCTTGTAATAACTTTAACCAGGAGAAAGGACGTAAGTCTTGTGTTAGTCTGTTTTCCTGTCATTGGATATTCCTGTGGACCAGGGGCAGTACTTGTACTAGGCCTCGCCATAGATAGAGATGACTGCTAGGCCATGTGGAGGAGGGGGAGTAGTATACAGCCTCATGTTGAGGCGAGGTCTAGCGGGAGTTCCAGGGGTTTCTAACTAT